ACATATAAATAGATTTTTTTTCCAAAAAAAATTTTTTTAATTTTCTCAAAATAAATAAATAATAAATAAAAATAAAAATAGTAATAACAATAGTAATAATAATAATAACATGGGCCGGACAGCTACTCCTTCTAAAATAAAATATAGAACGAAAAAAGATGACTACGCTAGGAAAAAACAGGAAAAAAACATCAAAAAAATGAAAAGGAGGTTAAAATTACGAGAGGAAGAGGAAAAAGATCCCGAGAAAAAAAAAGTAGTAGCAATATTAAATATATATATTAATTATTTATTATTGTAAATTATTCTTTTAGAAACACATTTTATTTATTTATTTTAATCTTAAATCATCATTACTAATACGGTAGTGTTTTAAACTTGAAATTATTACTATGTCCAATAACATGTATTTATGTAATTTTTATCAATGATCGGCAAGGATAAATTAAAATACTAATTATTAATATGAATTAAAAAATTCTCGTTTCAACGGATTTTACATTTAACATTAACATTAATATTAAATCGTGTTACAAAGGACTACAGAAATAAGAGTGATGTTTGAAGATTCATAATTATTATTCGAAACATTTATTAATACCGTTAAATTATTCACACGAATATATTATATCTCTCCTTACTACTACTATATATTTTGTTTGTCGAATGAACTTCAATTCGAAATCTTTCTTAACGAATTGCAACTAGTAACAGTACAATAATAATTGACGATAGTGATGATAATTCGGTTAATACTCCTTCAAATAAAAAAATAGAACCTGAAATAAATAAAGGTATAGCTTCATTTGGAGGATCGTGATGGTTATAGAATCTGTAAGATAAAGATGAATGTATCTTCTGAACATCCAAACGGAATATGCAATAAAAAATAAAAAAATAAAATTTATAGTTAGAATTAAACTGATATTCGTGGCTTTTTTTCCTTTTTTTGTGATAATTTTGCTTTTATAACAATATTTATTTATGACTATTTGAAACACCTATGGTTATTCGAACTGTTTATGACTATTCGAAATTCTTTACCAAAAGTCATCTGATGTATTTCGAATATAATTCTTTTGGATTCAAAAAGGGGATTGAAACACTGTATCAAACAAAATGATTGTCTTTTTAAAATTGAGTACAATGCTTGTCACAGTAATACAACGTAAATAGAACTCCGGAAACTACATAGTAATACATCCATTTTTTTTTAGTTCAGTGCAACA